AGTCATGTGTCTTGTTTCTCATTGGTTTGTTCTTGTCATGTGACCCTCTTGTTTGCTATAAGTAGCCATCATGTTGCCATTGTCTCGGGTCGTGTATTGATGTTGTAACCCGCTGTCGGTGAGTCTAGTCTGTTCATGCCTCGTCAAGTCTGTTCATGCCAAGTCAAGTCAAGTCAAGTCTGTTCATGTCAAGTCAAGTCACGGATTATTGTTTGGATATTTGGATCACACTGTAAATAAACTGCACTTGGGTTCTCACTTTAACTCGCCTTCAGTGGATTGAATCGTTACACTCTAACTACCCTTCCATCTGGCATCCTTCCATTCCATACAGTAATCAGCTTCATTTTCGATGGGTTTGTGCTCAGAAAACTACACAAATATTATAAGAAAGAGTGTGAGAGCGAGACACACTTCTCTTACCGCTCCGCATACAGCGGTTTTACTAATGTACTCTGCATACCTGATGTTATGTAGAAAACGACCATTTAATGGTCCTGCTCAAATAAATATGCATGCGAATATGGCAAAAAAAAAATCCTCTCCCGATGTAAATGTAACTCCCTACGAATTAATGCAGCTTCCTCATCTACAAGATTCTGTATACAAGGACATGCCATTTTTTTCACTTTCAGAGTGTCTGCATGATGAAAATATGTGCAATGAAAAATATGAAATAAAAATATCTAAAGATTCTTAAATCAAGATGCAATTTCTACATAAGAAAAATGACAAAGTATTTAGTCTTTTAAGTGTATTTTATCTGCCAATGGGGAAAGAAAAATAATCTTGTTTCCATTTGCATTCAGTTTTTTTCTTGTTTTAAGTAAAATGCACTTAATTTAGATTCCAAAATACTCAGTAAGGAAAGCATTTTTGCATGTGAATGAATGAATGAGGTATTTAACCCTTGTGTTGTGTTCAAAACCCTTTTACACTTGTGATGTTACGGAGCAAAAATGACCCAGCCTCAGAAAATTGCTTATAAATCACTCATTATGCTATATTATCACCAAATATTGGATTCAATGTTTTTGTCAACTTCTTTCCTTTCATTTAGGACTGGTTTTATATTTATATTTGCTTCTATTAATCGTAGGCCTCATTTATCTGAGAGTAGGCACCTCATTTTTTGAGTGAAAAAAATATTATTTATGAATAATTTTCACAATATTAAATAAAACGTGGAGAAAATGTGCACTGATTATCACACTAGTGTACTTTAATGTTTAATCAGGGAGTTTGTTTTGAAAGGCTTTTATTTTGTACAAAATGGCACAAAGTCACACTTGTGGTGTTCCCGGTCAAAAATGACCCGGCCTCAAAATATTGCTTATAAATCACTCATTATGCTATATTATCACCAAATATTGGATTCAATGTTTTTGTCAACTTCTTTCCTTTCATTTAGGACTGGTTTTATATTTATATTTGCTTCTATTAATCGTAGGCCTCATTTATCTGAGAGTAGGCACCTCA